GAAATAATATTGATATGCTGCAGAACATGTAGCTCCAGATGCAATCAACAGATTGAGTGGGAATTTCAAAACTGTCACTTAAAGATTTACATGTCACTGTAAAGAAGAAGAAGAAAAAGCATCGTAAAGTCAATGACTTCCATTGTGCCGGAGGGGGAGGAAAGGGAAGGCGAGTCTGTTGGATGCCCAGGTCACCAACCCTTGACCCTTGTCCTCGACCCCTGAATCTATGACATCTGTCTGCTTTTTCCCACCTTCTCTCGCCCTACCCCTTTTCTGTCAAAGGAATTTGATCATGGGGGGGGAAGTGACATTCTCAAGCTCTCAAGACAATAATCTTGTGAACAATTGTGATATATATATATATATATATATATATATATATATATATATAAACATTATGTTTGCAGCAGCTTGCGTACATAGTTTCATTGGAGCTCCCCTTCGTCAGCTGCTTGGCCTACATCTACTCATATTTGCTTGTGCGAAGCCAGAGCATTTGCCCCAGGAAATACAGATGTCCTTTTTTTTCACACTACTTTCCTTTGTCTGGAAAATAGGTCTGTAGGCTATGACATAACAGTGCGCCACAGAAAGCCTCCTGCATCTCTAGCCTGCGTGGACGGTTGCAGAGGGGGGAGGGGAGGAAGACAGTGGGGGTGGTGTTGTACAGTGAGAGGGCCTACACAAGGCTCGCTTTTTCTTTCTAAAGCCACACGCTCATATGTGCACACACACACACACACACACACACACACACACACACACACACAAGACAGATAGTGAAGCCTTTTCTTCCAGACTGTCTCTGACAGCCCAGCCCCAATGCTCCTATTCTCTTTACAGTGTAAATAAAGCAGCAGGGCTTAGGGAACTAAATCCAATATGTCAATGGACACCAGAGCACAATGAGGAATAGATACCCAACTGGATATTCCCCTGCTACAATCTTAGCTTTCCAAGCACTTCCCCGGCCTAATAATGGCACAACAAGAGTTGTGTGACTCGCAGCACCCTTCCCCCACCCGTACATATTACCATTGCTCCTCAGTGCTGTCTAGAAAGGTCATGTGACCCTCATCAGCTTCCCGGGTTGGGGGAGGGGAGGCAGATTGAACCTGTTCTTTGTTAGGAGGTCAGCCCCAGCTCTATGGCAGGAAGTGCGCCTACCATACAGCATGTAATAGACGTGCAGAAGGGGCAGAATGCAGCGTGGGAGTATCAGAGATGACTGAGTTGTTGAGCACCCATGCAATAAAGACCAGGCAAGAAAGACTCACATAGCTCAGTGCTGAGGCTTGCGTGACAAATGCAGCTCCAGCAGTTTTATTTTTGAGGCTGATGTAATTCAAAGAAAAATAAGTGAACCAATTGGAGGCCTGGTCTCTGTTTATATTAGTGCCGGCTCAAATGTCTGCGTACAGTTAATATAAGCATGATATTATTTCTGTTTGTGTGGGGGAGAGGTAGTGACACTTCCAAGGCATTACAGCTGGAGAGGGCCAATAAAAATTCAAAGCAGGTCTATAAGTCAAAATAAATATTACTGGGGATATTCCTTGTGGGGAAACCAGCTACAAAGCTGCTCCGTAAACTCTACTCTACTATGTGCAGATGATGTTGTCTCTCAGACTGTAACCTCAGGCAGTTTGCAGCAGAGTGTGACGGGGTTGAGATGTGGAAATCCCAAGGGATGGTAGCATTCTAGAAAGAAAGTGGAGGGCTCCATGGGGGTGAGGGGGAGCAGCGGTAAGGAATTCAGGCATCTTTTTTATGGTGGATGGTAAATGTAGGTAGTGCGATAAGCAGGCAGCACAATACAGTCTGTTTATCATACAATCCAATGATATTGCCCTATACAGTGAATCCTGCTTTAGGGAAACTGAAAATGTTTTTTATTGAAATAGTCAGGGGTTATTCAGCTTGTTTGGAGATAATTCTTCCAATTGACTTCTGAACTAAATGGTTATTCAAAATCCTGTCAGATTTAAGCCTTAAGTGCATCAGTATCTTGTGGTTCAACCAGATCAACTGCAACTCCTACACTGTACTGCATCACAGCAAAATTGTGACACAGCCTTGAGAACACTTTGCAGGGTGGAATAATGGTACTGCTTAAAAAATGGGTTATATTCAGCATCTCATGGAAGGTAGTAATTGATAATTACCAAATTATGGGTTTGGGGTTTGATGGATATTTAAAATCATTATCAAACCCAGAAATTCAGAGGAAGAACCTTAAAGTGAGAAACATTCAGGAACATTCAGCATGTTGCAAAATGCAGATGCTCATATTTGAATATAGGGCAGGATGTGTGAATGGAGGAATATTCTGAAAATGAGATGCCTCATTTCCTCCTTGCAATCTGTATAACAATTTGCTGTGAAGAAAAGGCTCTGAAACTGTTATTTGGCAGGCTGCAGGGCTGAGCTCATATATCCATTTATCTGCTCTCATTAAATATGGATTGCTCTAGAGAACGGCTCTGACAGGATTCTCTCTTATGGTCCTACACAACATCTGCACATCAGAGACTGACTGACACCTGCATGTCCTCTGTGAACTGTGTCTTATTGTCTCTCTATCAGAATGTGTTAGCTGCCTGAATGCAACTGCCTCCCATGATGGTTATGGCCCAAATCAAAATCTTGACAGAAAAAGGGACGATAACAATGCCCTGTAATGGGCAAAAGCCATGACATCCACTAATATCTAACAATTTAACTAATGGGTTTAATATTACATGCAGGAAATCAAGAGAGTCTGTGATTTGTCTCAGTGATTTTGTCCTAGTAGTAATACCCGTCAAGCCAAAGCCTGATGCTTGGCTCTGTGCCACAGACCTGCATTGATATCCAAAAACTAATAAAACACATCAGTGAGCCACATAGTTAAAAAGGGTGTTTGGCATGTTCCTTCATTATGATGATCATAGGCACATGTAGTTAATTTAAGTCAATCCCAAATATGCCATTTTGATGGCGCAAATGCAAAAAAAATGGACCACCAAATTTACATCACTTTGCAGCTGACAATTGTCCCTAATAAATACACCAAATACTCCTGTCTGGGAAGTGTTTGTTCAAAACTGCAGCGCCCAGCTGTTTTAGGGAAATAATAGCCTTTAAAAAAGGGGGGCAGGGTAGGGAATTGAGAGACAGACACATACATTGTTGTTGTTGTTTTGACACAAATAACTCGTCTGTGTACACTAAACAGTGACAGTTTGGGTCATGGCTGATGAATCAGAATCAGAATCAGATATTTTGTGGAGTGGTGGTAGTGCCAGAACCGCCTCAAGCTCATTACAAACTATGCACAAGAGATCTCGGTGAAAAGAGCAAAGAATTCCTCTCCCAAACCAGTTCACATGATATTTTACTGGATACCGTGTACTCAATATATCATTTTCTTCAATAACATGGCTCAAGTGGTTTCTCTCAATCACACTAATGCTGCTCCTTGTTGTTATACCAATACTATATACATGTTATATGACTAAAAAATACAATCTGACTGCAATACAATATGTATGTTAAAACTGCAACAATAAACTAAAATCCATAGTAAAGGATGTGTTTTATATATACCCCAAATTTTAAATGAACCCCTCGTTTCAAGGCAATTTTTACAAAATATCACCACTACCAACCAGTACCACAGTATATTCATATACCTGTGACCAGTGGAGGCATAACCATAAGAGCCAGACAAATAGTTAATGACTGTGCTACAAGATAAAAGTAAAAGGGAGATCCTTTGTCCACAGAGAGAAATAATCAGCTGCTAACTTGACACTTTCTCAAATGAAAAATCACATATTAATCACATCTTCAATTATGTCTTATCTCCTTTGGTATTACAGTGAGATAGTGATATAATTTTAGACCCATATCTACTGCTTTTTGTTTTTCTGTGGTGTATTCATTGGGCTTTCTTTTTAGGTTATTTAGGTTACTCTTACATTTTCTATACATGTTAATTCATCAGCTTAAACGTGCGTATGCTGCTTCAAAGCCGTCTCCACTCTGCTGAATCCAATATTTATTTGTTTCCGTTAGCCTGCAGCCCAAACCAAGTATAGATTATAAATCAGCCAGTAAAATACAAATCACATTTAGCCTACACTTTTTATTGGAGAATATCAACTCGTTCCTGGTTGACAAACCCCCCTAAATTCTTAGAAATAAAGTACAGCTGATTTGACCCATACACTGTCCTCATGTGTCCCTATTTCCAATCAAACAGTACCATCATTTTTTCAAACAACTATACATGTTCACATTATACTTGTAGGGTATAAAACTGAAAGCACACATTAAAATACATTGCAATAGGAAGCTGTCGCAGCTGTGGCTTTATAATGGAATATGTTAATGCGCACATATTGCCGTGTGTACGGTAACCAAAGGAATGTGTCACACCAGTGTAGAGCCGTAATGATGTCAACTTGTTATTTACTTTCCAAATCTGAATGACTGAGCAAGGCGAAAGGAGAATTAATCAACCACTGTGTGACCGGGCAGGCGAAAAATAGTGGAGCGTGGGGGAGGGGAAGCGGCTCAGAGGCCAGATAGGCAACACTAGACTGTACTGCACTACTACACGAACATATCAAAGTAGGAATACACTATAGCGTGGGGTTTCGAGTGTGGTATATGAAAGCATACGGTGGACAACCAAATGTGTATTTTTTGTTCGAAAAATACTTGTAGGTGCAGATTTAAGCTATAGCAAGCATACAGTAGCCATGTGGTAACAACACAGTTGTTTAAGCATATCTATACTAGCTGGTGGAGGTTCAAAGCCACGTATGGGCAGTGGGATATACACTATATAACCTATTGGTAAATTATTTAACTATAGGTTTGATAGTGTATCCAATATTCAGGTTTAAGGTCAGTTGCCTTCACCCTCCACCACCCGCCTCTCTCTCTCTGTTCTCTGTCTACGTCTCTCTCTCTCTCTCTCTCTCTCTCCCGCTGCCTGCTGCTGTCTCTCTCTCTCCGTTCCTGTTTCTCAGTGAACGGTGAAACTCCTTTGAGTAAACTAGCCTGCAGCCTGCAGCCACACAACCGCGGGTTCATTCCAACTTATCCGCCAGTTGTGAGCGTGTGTGTGTGTGTGTGTGAGCGTGAGCGACTACTGCTTTGTTAGGACACCCAATTAGTCGACAGTGAGTCACACGGCGGCGGTCGGAACTTGAAATATGACGATAGGCAAAATGGGAGGAAAGTCGTCGCTAGCCTGCTGAAGTTGGAGGCTCTCCTTGTGGAAGAGGAAGAGGTGGCGGCGGACACCACGAGTTCACTCTCACAATAAAAAAGGTAAGCCAGTTAAAGTGGCATGGTTTTTTTGGGGGGGGGGGGGTTGCTGCAGTGCACATCGGGCTGCTTCTGTGTTCGCGTGTGGGGTTATATGCGCGCGGAGGATAGTGGCATTCAGTAATATGGGTGATTATGGCGTAGATTAGGAGGTTGCCGGTACATCGCTTAGTCACCGTTTGACTCCACACGTGTGTTCAAATTCCTTGCTTGTGTCTTTTTTTAATTTTTTCTCCAAACAACCTACTTTTGTGAGACTGTTTTCTTTTCTCTCACACTCACAATAAACACTGGGAGCTGAGCTGTGGACTACTTCAAAAAAATACAATAAGTTTTAGAAGTTGAACGTTTTGGTGAATTATTAAGATATCTACTTTACACTTAATATCACAATAGAAACCACCACATTACGTTGCACCAGTGCAATATGAGTCAAGCTGAAATATGAATGATATGTATATATATATATATATATATATATATATATATATATATATATATATATATATATTGCCATGCATGAGTGGGGGAAGACACAGCCACCACTCTCCAAGGGACAGCTCATCTTACTGTACACCTACAACGTTAAGCTGCCCCCTGACTGTATCAGCTGTAGCTGCTTTGAAGCACAACAGAGGCACCGACTTATCAAAAGAAACCCTTTTTGTTAAATGGGAAGCTCGAGGACATTCACGTGTTCACAGAACACTTAATAAACCAGTCTATTGACCTATAAAATGTCTTATTTTCCTCAGTAGCTATTGGGATAATGGGATGCAGCATGTACAGACAGATTCAAGATGTCTAGCCCATGAGCATCAAAGTGTTTATCTCCATTAAAGCGAGACACGAGAAGGGTTCAGATGAAAATAAACCGCTGAAGCTGTTGGGATGCTGTCTTGATCTGACTCAACTTCAATGGCCCAAATAATTAATGCCAAAGTGATGCCCCTGTTTCTTCTTGACCTACTGACTGTTGTGTTGTTTACTGAAATCAGGAGGAGGCATTTTAACAAAGAAGTTGCACTGAAGAGAACCTCATTGATTTGATATGTTGGTCATTTTTTGTTGTAATAGTAAGCCAATGGACACAAGCTGGATGGCACCTAATCCTCTTCACTGATGTCATCATTGATGAGATAACACAACTGTTGTGTTAATTGGATTTGATATAAAGAAAAGAATATGGTGGCGTTTATGGACTGGACAGTATTTTAAAGTTATTGTCTTTCTCCGGAATGGTATCGTGACAATATGATTGTGTAATAGTGCTGTCACTTCTAAATAATTAATAATCAGCAATTTTGAACACAACCCACTTAAGCGCATCCCAAATTTAGTTGTCCAGTTGACGTTGTTTCGATGCATTGTTGACGTTGGGTCTTGGTAAGGGCATCGCAAGGCAGGTGGCAAACTTTACCTAACCGTTTCTCCTAATATTTTTACACTTATGATCGGAAATCCAAAATGATTTCCACACAATTCCTCTCGGACGGCTTTGTGTCAAGCAAATTGGTGTGTCAGAGAGAGCTGCTGGGCATGCTACAGATCACAGCCTCCTGGAGGACTCGCACCTTCACACCGTTTAGTTAAGCTAAGTATTTTAGCATTAGGTGAACTCTGTCCAAACTGTAGCCAATGGATTGAGTACAGATTAAACGTGAATAAAGATTGACCGTCCTCTCCTTTAGGCACATTTTCATAGTTTGAGATAATCTGGTAAACCTTTTTGAGGAGTTTTGTCTGATGTGATGCTATATTTTCACATTTATTTCAACCGCAACATTTTCTCGTTAACTCCCTGACATTGATTTCAGCCGTATTGCTCTGCAATACCAGTGTCTTCACCGGTTCTGTCACCAGTTACAGACTTGCGGGCCCTAATTGCAGCGGTTACAAAAACAGGTTTGGTGCCACCTATTTAACGAACAATAGGAGTTTCATTATGTCTTAACTGCACGTTTCAGACTACTTGACGTATTACATTTCCATTTGTTGATCCCTAAACATGTTATTCTCACAAGGCCTATATTGTTTACAGAGTGAGTAGCCGTACATTTTCTAAATTCTTTTATTGTCTTCTCTTTCAGTGTTTCAGACGGCGGTCCGGTTACCTTTTGTACCGAGTCCTGCGAGAGCATAAATTGATAATGTTGTCGTCCTACGGGTTATTGTCTGTCTGCCTCTTGTTCAGTTACGGGATTTCAGATGAAAGTCTTTTTGTTTCAGTGCTGCGGGTGATCTGACAAATGCGGGATGGCCGACCATATGTGAAGCGTCATAACTCATTGTTCTGACAGCTCGCAGTCTGTCCTCGCCGAGCTCCTTCTGACGAGTTATTTAAGCGTAATTATTCCTATGGACTCGGTGAGCTGAGGCACAGAAGAGACAATCCAACCTACGTTGTGTTAAACACTGTGTTCAAAACAGAGACGTATCCCCTGCTCATAAGTAGGTCGAGGAAGTCCCTGACAAAGCCCATGTCTGCCTTGCGGTGCTGCAGAGCTCTGTATCGGGCTGTCCAAATATTTCTGTAGCAGTATTTATTTATGATATGGCCATTGGGGGAGGTGAGCCATTCTTTCCCTCCAAAAAAACGAGTCGTACAGTGTTGCATGGACGACCAGCCAACTGGCAGACTAGTAGCTACTCTGAAATAACTGCCTTACTAGTTCAAGGCTATAGTTATTTATTTGGGTTTATTGTTGTCTGCAGCTCCTTGTGCGTATTTAAAGCAAGTAAGAGGAAGCACCGTAAAAGGTGTGTCGTGTTCAACTGTGTGTGTGTGTCTAGCAGCTAATCAGTTTCTATGTTGTCTGAACCAATCGTAGCTCATTACTGTTTCCTTCTTTATAGACTTGACATGTGTTGTAAATAGAACATCCTCAGGAAGCCAGGAGGTAATCGCAATTTAAAATGACATTTTTATTAATTGTACAGCCCCACAAACAGGCAATCTTGTTTCTTACAATTTTTAGTAATGTAGAAGAAGATTAGTTGCCATCATCCTACCGTGTCCATTGTTTTTTTTAACTCATTTTTGGGGAGGAATGTGTTTGAAGCACTGTTACTGCTGGTGGATGACTGTTAAGGAAGTTGTGCAAGCACATGCACGCCAGAGTGAGAAACTTCTTTTCCTATTGTTTTCTTTTAAGCCCTCCCCATTCAGCCACGTTATCTTGTCCGATGCTTTTGATTGTGTAGCAGTGGAGATCAATGTAAAGTATACAAAAACACGAAGAGAACAGCAGCAGTACTGTAACACGGATTCATATCATTCTGTACTGATGATTCAGTCCGTATGTTTCATGTCCATACAAGCACCGTCGGTCTACCATTGTCTGTGGAGGAAATTAATGGTACTTTCCCACATAGCACCTCTGTGACACCACAGTATGACCGTTACAGGCCTCTTAAAAAGGCAAAACAAGACTGGTTGTGTTGCCGTATGTGTGTTGGCCACTAGGACGCAAGAAGCTTCAGTCTGAGGACGTTGGGGAAACAGTGTTGCTGTTCGGTTGCTCAGTACATGTCTTCATATATCCTGTTCACAACTCTCTAATAACCAGAGTCTGTCTGAAAATGTGCACCATTTTTGCAGTTTTCCCATATTGTTATTGTTATTGCCCGTGTATAGTTTTGGCCAAGCAGCCGGTGGTCGGGTTTAAATGTTGGCTGCTGCATGGTTTGTAGTTTCCTTCGCCTTGTAGTTAGAAACTCGACGTCATACCACCGTCTGGCCTTAGTGGTGCACCAAAAGCCATGCAGAATCCTTTGTTTTTGGACAAATGTACAAAACAAAGGTACTCTAAAGACACTCTACACTTACAGCTGTGTATAATTACACTAATGGTTTCCTAATTTCTTAACACCACATTTGTATGTATACAACAGTGTGTAGTCTTTCTTCACCAGCACCCTGTGAAATAGTTTTTATTACAGGAGCTTAATGGTTTATTTATTGCCTCCCAGCGAGACTATATTTTTGGCGCAGAGCATCTTTATGAGATGACATATGTACTTCAATATAAAAAACAACAACCTGCTGTTGGTATTTCATGATAGCAGAATAGACACACACACACACACACACACACACACACACAGGAAGGGAAATGTGTGGTGAGCTGTGTCGCGGTGTGACTGCTCGCAACAAGGGAAAGCTCGCTGAAGATCAGTGTTTCAGTTGTCTGCCTCGTTTGTTTGACCCTGATGTCAGATGGCGGGAAAGCTCGAGGAGAGCGGGGGGGGGGTATTTAGGGTGGCATGAGCAGCTGTTGACGGAGAAGCGAGATATTCTGGTCACCATGGCAACACTTGTATTGCCCACATCGTGGCGTCTCTCTGTGTCTCAGCTTGTTTGTGCGATTCCTGCTCCTGCCTGGCTGGAGGCCTCTGCGTCGACTGTTACAGCCTCAAGGGCACTTCTTTCTTATTGTTGAATGAATGTAGCTCGTACGTTTACTCTACCAAACTAAAAGAAAGAGGCTCATGTTTTATAAAATCATTTCTCCTAGTGAAGCCGTGCTTGTGTAAGCGCTCGTGAAGACATGCTGTACATTCCCATAAAGATATGATAGTTTCCGTTCCCGTCAGCGGCGGAGACGATGGTCGCGTCCACAATATGTCAACGCAGCCAGAAGACCGGCAAAGGTTCTCGCCATCAGCGGATCCTTTACCCTTGATTTTAAATGCACGGGAACATAAAAGCACAAAGCGTGCACTGGCGTAGGTTTGAAGCCCCTTCATTCTACACACTCGTCTTTGTGTGAATTGGAGGGGCGACCCTGTATTCCCCACGATACTCTTCGACGATTCGATCTAAGGATTCATCTGCCAATCTTACAGTTGAGTCGTCGCAGTGGCGGAATAATGTGGTTATGAAACAAAGGATCATTCCATTCTGGCTGTACGGGGGTGCTGAGTGTCTTATTTGACGTAGAAGTGCTTTGGTTTTGGAGCCATTAAAGCAGCATCTGGGCAATAGCGGGAGGAAAGGATAA